GTACATACTCGCATTTTAGACTCTGTTACTAACTGTATATCTGTAGACTTGGTATGTATTCAATGTCCGGTTAGGATGTATTAGAACGAAATCTAAAATGAAATTTGTAAATAAGCCATCTGTATGTTAAAAAACCACCTGTATGTAAATTGTAAATAAGCCATCTGTATGTCTCTGTCTCTGGTCTGCATCCCCTTAACAATTGTATGTTTTGAGCTGTACTGTACTGTACCCAATATACAAGCTGTTAATACACTTTTCAATCAATCAATCAATCAAGCTGTGTGCCTTAGAGTCTTGAATGAGACATATCATTTCAATGTGTTCTTGTTTTATTTGCCTCTCTTCCTAACCCAAGTATTGTGCTGATTATTTCACATAAATAGCATTGCGACGTATGAATACTAATGTGGTTCCCTTNATTCAAATGTATGTTTTCTGACACTATTTAAAGAAATAATCAGACAATTTCATTACAAACTAATGTAAACTACTAATTAATTTGGTGAGAAACAACACACCCTGTCAAAGTTCATCTCTCCTCATACTTAATGGGTCCCACCCTTTTGAATCTGACCTGTGTGTTGTTTCTCACCAAATTAATTAGTAGTTTACATTAGTTTGTAATGAAATTGTCTGATTATTTCTTTAAATAGTGTCAGAAAACATACATTTGAATACAACCAATAAAGTGAAAAATACAATAAGCATTAAACTTTTTGAAATATTCATCTATTACACATAAATGGCATTCACTCTGAGAACATTTGGAGGATAGACTGAGTATATCAGAGCATGACCTTTTCTTGAGCGAGAGATAAATAAATGTCAGTATTACAATAAAGTGGGATACCATGAATTAATAAAAACATGTAAAAATGTAAAATGTTTGAAAGTCTAATAGGTAATTGAAGAAGTTAACAAAAGCTCAAAAAGGTTTACATTTCTAAAGTAACGCTGACACGCTGACAGCTTAATCTGTAGCGTTGTCATGGAGAGGTGAACGACCTCAGTGTCATTCACCTCTCTCCCAGCCAGCCGACACTTAGTCCTGTACCAGAGAAATAAAATAAAACAATTCAACATCCAGGAAACACCTTCCCTGAGTCTGAATATGTCAGCTCTGATAACTGGCAATTTATTTTATTTAACTGAAAAAGTGAATAGCAACCCATTTTGATGGACCTTGCCAGATTTGTCATCACAAAGCTTTAGATGTGTCTTTGGGGTCAAATTTAAGCTGTGGTCGTAGCAATGGTTCCAAAAATAAGAGGATGGGGGCTTTAAGGGTTTAGCCCCTGGTCTGATTTGACATCCATGGATGCTAGGATCTGATAATAAGCATTAAGACAAATTCAGCTGAGATGAAAATGTCTGAAGCGTTGCAGGGATGTGGTCATAAACAGACATTTTTACCTTCATTGACGCTAGATAAAACATTCAGGGTTCACTAAAATTATAATTCGTCTGTACAAATCAAAGAAATTCGTTCAATAGCTGTTGAGATATTTGGAGATTATTGGTCTGGACCAGAGTGGTGGACCAGCCAGCGTTGACATCCCTAAAGCCAAGTGTAAATACAATTTCACAAATAACATATTATATAAAGTAAGCAAGTACCAGTTAGTACATGCCTTGTATTGGATCACAAGCTACTGTTTAATATTATTCAGTAGTGGAAAAAGTACTCAGGTCCTTTTCTTGAGTAAAAGCAGAATTACTATGGTCTTAAAATACTCCATTACAAGTAAAAATCTTGAATTTAAACTAATAATTAAGTAGAAGTTAGGAAGTATTCTCAGTGAAATGTACGTCATGTATCAAAAGTAAAAGTACCCATGCAGAATGGCTTTTAAAAAAATGATTAGTAGAATAATTCTGCTGTTTTTATCCGTAACAAATGTATTCCACCACTTCTTTTTATTAACACAGATATGGTTGTGAGTACACTTTCTCCTATTTCATGATTAATTGTGAAGAGCTTGCATTACTGAGGCAGAATATTATTACTACTTCTATTCTATTTTATTGTATTTACTTGCACTAATTTATTTGTTGTATTGTGTTGCACTGTTGGAGGAGCCTGGGACCTACGAATGACAATAAAAGCCTTGAATCTTGGATCTGTCTTAAAATCCACATCTGGACAAATATTTAGTTTAAGCAGCTTCTGAAATTAAGAGGTGTCTGCATTCCACTGTCCTCTGCACAGCTGTTTTCAATCAAGTACGAATGTTTAACTCCTCTCAATGTCTAAATCCCACTGAACCAGTGTTTGAAATGAAGAATGACACCTTTGAGTTTCTGACATTATGTTTATTGTTACAGATCAATGAAGCTCACGGTGCCTGAACAGTTCTTTACAGACCTTACTGCTGTAGGTTTAGCGGCTTGGTGGTGCATTAAGCAAAGTTCACAGAGGTCAGTGAGTAGAGTTAGTTGTTAAACTACCGTGAGATTCTGCGAGTACATGCACACGGGCCAGCACCCAGGAAGTAACGTATACACATTAATACGTTCTACTGATCATTCAGGCATACGTCCACACTGCACTGTGCATCATTTCCACTCAAATGAATGTAATACAATAAAACAGCTGCCAGGGTTAGAGAGAGGAGCATTTGTGATGACACTAGCTAAATACCTCTATCATTATACAGGCTGTCTTATCTATCCTGGCTCAGACTCAAGGACACAGCAAGTCAAGGTCACTGACCTTTCTGACAACATCCTCTTAGTTTTATATGGGGTTACATTTTGTGCTCTTAAGTTCAAATAAGTATATATTTTAAACTATTACCTGTGAGAAAACAAGAAAGGAGACATATTTGATCATTGGCATTAACACACAAGAGTGATTAATTTAAAACACATACTGTAGCAAAGGATTGATCATGAAAACATCTGTGGAAAAGGACAATGCCCATTTAAAAAACTAAATAAATTAAACATGATCATTCAAATTTAAATAAATAGACATTCAAATACAATTTATTTACAAATAAATAACAAATATTTAT